AAATTTAGGAAATTTAATATTGACAGAACACATACCTAATCTACTGATCATTTTCCAGTTTGCAAATTGTTCTTATAGCAAGATCATGTACAGTATTGCACTAGTTGCCATGTCTCTTTGGTCTTTTTTTTTTCTTTCTCTTTTTAAATCTGGAACACTTTCTTTGTCTTATTGACAATGATAGCTGAACAATAAAGACCAATTATTTTATAAAAATGTTAACATTTTGACAGATTAAGCATGTATTACAATCTCATGGATAATGGCCATGAAACTAGTGAGACATTCGCTTCTGTCTCCTTTAGGAAGCCAAGTTGGCTTTTCTGCCCTGATGATGCTTGTTGTGTTGGTTATGTGATTGTGTTTTTGTTAAGATTTACAGAACCGTGTTCTAAAATGTGTGAAATGTATTGTATGTAAAGTATACCTAAACCATAAAAATGCTAGTCTCTAAAAAGTTGAATTCTGTCTGAATATTCCACCAAATTATATGCTTCAAGTGTTTTATTCTGGTACTTATCAATTAAATTTTTAAAACTCGGATTGTCGCTTGGGAGACATGAAACTTTGTATTTTTTTGCGACGTTGTCTCACTCTGTCACCTAGGCTGGAGTACGGTGGCATGATCTCAGCTCACTGCAACCTCTGCCTCCTGTGTTCAAGGAATTCTCCTGCCTCAGCCTCCTGAGTAGCTGGGATTACAGGCATGTGCCACCACGCCCAGGTAATTTTTTGTATTTTTAGTAGAGACAGGGTTTCGCCATGTGGGCCAAGCTGGTCTTGAACTCCTGACCTCTGGTGATCCACCCGCCTCGGTCTCCCAAAGTGCTGGGATTACAGGTGTGAGCCACCGCGCCCAGCCAGATTCCCGGCCTGAAACGCATTTTTTTAAGTCTATTGCTATATACTTAGGGACAAATATTGTTAAAGGTAGAGAAAACAACATGTTTTGAAGAAAAGGAAGTGTTGGTGGGGGTGAGGTGGGGGCAGTTGCTTGTCTGTCCTGGAAAGGCAATTTCTTACTGCTTCATACCCTGGTATATACCCGTTTTATATCCATTCCATTCTTTCTAGAAACACCGATTTCTGTCCTCATTGTTTTTATATTTCTGTCTCCTATTGTCATGTTTTATGAGCAAGTCGTAAAGGGAGGAAGAGGGAAAACAAAGTTCTGAGGCTTTCTTAATCTCCTTGCTCAACCTCCATTTTTAGTAACCATAAAGAATTTGGTTCTTTTTTTTACAGTTTCCTCTTCTAGCAAGAAGTCCCACCACATGCCATCCACCTAGCCACTTAATGCTCGCCGAACAAGTCAAATCTACAGCAAATACGTAGTCTTGTAATTTTTTTCAAACGTTATGTAAAAGGTATACTGTAAAATCTTACCAGAACTTATTTCACTCAATACGATTTTTAGATGTACCTACACACATGTAGCGACCCATTCACTTTAACTTGCACTGAATAAGTATCTCAAAGGTACTCTTCTATTTCCCCACTGACAAGATACTTGGCATTGCCTACTCTAGACGACCAGGCAGCGACTTCTTCTTACGCTGTTGTTTGTGCTAGAATTTCTCCACAGCGTATTTTGTAGGTGAAATGACTGGATCCATGTGTATGTCTACATCTTCAGCTTTACTAGACATGGACAAATTCCCCTGCAAAGAGGTTGTACTCCTTTTCCCTCCCACCAGCTGTGTAGGACAGTTCCCATTTCTCACCAACAGTTGCTATAATTAGACTTGGGTATTTCTATCAAAAGGATGAGTTTATAACATTGTATCTTATTGTTGCTTTGGTTTGTATTTCCCTGAGTTCTAGGGCAGTTGAGCTCAGTAAAGAACTTAACCCCATCCTTTGCCTCGTTGTTTGTAATTGGGGTATGTTTTCCTTATTGTAGTTCTTTAAATGTTCTGGATGGCAATCCTTTATTAGTTATACCTTTATATCCTCCCATTCTGAGGCTTATGCTTTTGGTTCTTTAATACTGCTCATTAGTTTTTCAAGTTTCTTTTTTTGTAATTTAAAAATTGATAGATAGTAGTTGGACATATTTTGGGGGTCCATATGAGTTTTGAAACTTGTAAAATGTAATTATTAAATCAGGGTACTTGGGGTATCCATCACCTCAAACATTTTTCTTTGTTGTAGGAACAACACAAATCTCTTCTATTTTGAAATTTACGATACATTATTGATAATTTCCCTACTGTACTTCATTGAGCTGATTTTTAAAACCAAACCATAACCAGAGTATATATTTTTATCACATGTGCATTCCTGGTTGCCTGGCATGCTGCTGTGTCAGCCTCTCCCAGATCCAGGCTGATGACACTTCCTGCCACCAGGAATACTAGAATACTGCCTGTGGTCATGGGAGGTGAAGAGATCTAACAGTTCACTTGGATGCAATGAAATACAGCCATCCCTCAGCACCACGGGAGATTGCTTTCAAGACTGCTAACAGCTACCAAAAACGGCGCATGCTCCATTCGGCGACTCCGTGGAACCTGCATATACTCCATGCAGCCACTCTGTGGAACACAGGTATTCCATATGGTCTGCGGGACCCGTGGATACAAACTTAGCCCTCCACATAGGTCGGTTTCACATCCCACAAATGTTTTCCGTCCCTGTTTGTTTGCAGATGCGGAACCCGTGTTGTTCAAGGGTCAACTGCACTGCTGCTCACACTAGTTGCATGGAGGTCAGAAAATAAAATCAAACCTCTTCACTTAGCAGAAGTTTTTTGCTTTTTTGATTTTTCCCCGAGACAGTCTTGCTCTGTTGCCCAGGTTGGGGTGCAGTGGCGTGATCTTGGCTCACTGCAACCTCCGCCTCCGGGTTGAAGCAATTCTCCTTCAACCTGGATTGTAGCTGGGATTACAGGTGCCCACCACCACGCCTGGCTCATTTTTGTATTATTAGTAGAGACAGGGTTTCACCATGCTGGCCAGGCTGGTCTTGAACTCCTGACCTCGTGATCTGCCTGCCTTGGCCTCCCAAAGTGCTGAGGTTACAGGCGTAAGCCACTGCACCTGGTCAAACAGAAGTTTTTAATGCAGTCAGATATAAATTTGATTTGTTGCTGTGCCTTCTCATAATCTATATACCATAAAATGCACTTTACATTTAATATGTAAAGTTCAGGAATCTCCAGTATTTTCACCAGTTGTGAAACGACAACCACTATCCAATTCCGGAGCACTTGCATCACCCATGGCTGCCATGGAGTTTCACAAAGAAAACTGCCAATTCCTCCCAACCTCCAAGGCCCTGGCAACCACAAATCTGTTTGCAACTATTTGCCTATTCTGGACATTTCACATGTGAAATCAGTTATGTGCCTGACTTCTTTCCCTTAGCACTTCAAGGTTCACCCACGTTGTAACATGCATTAGTACCTCATGGCTGAATAATATTTCCTCTGAAAGGACATACTGCTGTTTGTCCAGTTTTCAGTTGAGGGAAATTTGAGTTGCTTGCATTTTGGGCTATTATGAATCATGTCGCTATGAACATTCATGTACTAGTTTTTGTGTGGACATGTCATCAATCCTCTTGGATATGTGCTTAAGACTGACATTGTTGGGTTCTATGTCTAACACTATGATGAACAGTCAAGAAGTGTTCAACCAGTGTCTGTAACGTTTTACAATCCCACCAACCGTATACGAGGGCTCCAATTACTCCACATTCTTGCCAATACTCACTACTGTATTATTATTGGCTGTTAACCTTTAAGACAGGCAGCCTAATGGCCTGCTACAAAGAGGTATAGGCATTCTTAGAAAGTTTAAGCCCTTTCAAGGCTCATCTCACCCTGTCGAAGAGGCTGTGAAATCAGGGAGGCTGAAGATCCGGTGTTCTTCGTATGCTTCCCTTCCCTGCACTTCCTTCAGAAATGGGTCCTGCTTCATTGTATTAGCTTCTCTTAGGTCTTTAACAGATTAAAGAGAAAAGACTCCTTATTTAAAAGAAAAAGTGCATCCACCCAACTTTTATATTCAACAAAAAAACACTTCCCTTGTGTCCAGCTATGGGTAAAAGGGAAAGTGAGATGGAAGATGGAATAATGGAGACAAGAATTCGGAGTCCATTAAGTTACACTTCAGGGTCTTTTTGCAACTGCTCAGGATGTGTTAATGTTGAAGCTGAAGGTACCAACACCAACATGGGAACGAGTGAAGGAAAGAGCAGTGGTTCCCAAGCCAGGTGCTGAGGCTCTGCACTTTTAAGAGGGTGTTTCCTGTACTGTAGTGTAAGACCCAGCACCATTAGAACCTGTGTAAACGTCTCACAGCAGGAAAGGAACACAGGACAGGGAAAAAAAAAAAAAAAAAATCAGGAAAAGCAGAACCGAGGGTGCTGGTTTCTCTAGTTTGTCAGATACTGCATTCAAAAGTCAAGCCTGAGGCTGTATGACTCGAAAGAAAATAGGTGAGCAAAGTTGGGAAAATGAAATCCAATGAAAAATTAAATCCCCAAATAAATTCTGAACACATTAAGCTCATGAGAAGAATCTCGACCCACCTAGCACCTACAGTATCCCCCCCACTCAGGGAGAAGCCAGTTGGACGAGCTGCTCACATCTCCTGGGGCCACAGTTTAGACCCCAAATGGCTCTCTGGTATCCCTACTCAGGCAGAGGTGATAAGGCCAAGACCTCCAGAAAAAGGGGAACAGGGCGTTGGCAGTTGGGAATCACGTACTTGCCTCTAGGGCGACATCTGCTACCCAGCTCCTTGGGAGAAGATACACACAGGGCTTCCAGGTCTGAAATTTCGTGATGATCCAGAACTTTTAGGCTCTTTAACATTTCCTCTATTTAAAAATGCTCCCATCACCGTTTTTTGAAGGCACTGCACCGGCCCAATCTGGCCCAGCAGTCACAGTGCAGCCCCTGAACTGTCCACCTCAGAGACTCCCTTTCCCTCCAGTACAGTGCACACACCCTTATTTACTATGGATTAAAGGACCACACAGACACACTGTAGCCATGGAAAAACCCTCTTGTTTATTTGATTAAACAAAAATAAAATAAGCTGCATAGGAACAATTTTAAAGTCCAAAGAGACACCAACTTTGTTTTAAGGCTGTAGTAGCTGATACAGCATCTCCTTGCTACCTTCTCCAGCCTTCTCTGTGGACCACAGCGATACATTCAGAAGCCTGTGAGCTCACACAGGAGTTTCTGAATACTTTTCCATTGGTTCTTCACCTGCTCATTGCCTGTCATGCCTACGGCCTGCAACAGTTAACATTTAAGATTTAAAATGTGAAAGCCAAGAGGAGGGGGGGAAAAAACCAAAACCAACCAAACAAAAACTCACTTTTGCCTAAAGATTTGGGGGGAAATCTTCATTTCCCCACCCATCTACTGAATTGATGGGATTCACATTACCATGGCAATGCCCATTTCAAAGTGGCAAATGGCAGTCAGCACCCCACCCCGGACGGGCTCGCAGTGTGGTTTCTGCAGCCAGGGGAGTTACTACGGTAGTGCATATTCCTTATATCATGTCTGCCTTGGACAAATACAAATTAAGAGGTTTAACTTAGTCATTCTAACATAAGGCAACATGCCCAGGCTAATTCCCCCAACTCTGTGTTTACTTAAAAAAAAAAAAAAAAAAAAAGACAAAAAGACTCAACCGAGTCATATGTTCTACAGTTAAAAATTAAAGCATTTTGCTGACCCGGCATGAGAGCTAATGGACAGTATTAAGCAAGATTCAGTTTCACAACCCTCCCCCACCCACCCAAGTATAACTAACATGCTAGTTAAAAAACAACACCCCTTACCCACCCACCCTCACCTGCATCGATTTTAGGAGAAATGGGGAAAAAAGAAAGGAATCTTACCACCCTAAAAGCAAGAAAATCCCAGAAATGTGAAAAATCTTCCTCCGAAGAAGACAACTACACAGACGGCTAGAAACACAAAGAACTTACAGAGTTACAGAGCTGGTTATTTAAAGAAAGTAAACACTTCGCTACACACATCAACATTCAGTCAGTGTGCTCTGAGATAAGAGTCTTCAGAAAAATACTACCTGAGCTTGTAAGTTAATACAATCATTAAAAGGAGGTCTACGACCATGTGGATACACAAAACTTTTAGAACCATTATTGGTTAAATGATGATGGAAAACATCCCACCAGGCTGGCTTGTTAACCCGTAAGATCAGTTTTAAAAATAGACATCATTGAGGTATTTCTTCACCATGACATTTATAAGCCCCTCATGATAATGACAGTGGTCTTAGGACCCTCCTCCTCTCTTCCAACCAACCAAAAATTAGGGCAGAAGAGAGGTGGGAAGGTCAATACAGTATATCCTGGTAATGTGCTTCTCAACTTTATCAAGTATTTAATAAACAAGGAAAAAAAAAAAAAACCCGTCAACATGTTACCTTTGGTAGAAAAAAAATCAAAACACAAAACAAAAGAGCAATACATACTTCAACAGTCACTGCTCAGTGAAAACAGTGATTGCTCCAACATCATGGTGATGAATGTCCTGCTGGGTCCAGAGAGCTACAAATACAATCATGAAGTCAAGAGGATTCTCATTCCCTTCAAATATTTGATGTTTCCAAGAACTAGACCTTTAGAATTGCTCCTAAAGGGTATTACTTGCAGACATTTGAAATACAGATAAAATATTTTTCTCTTGAAGAGAAAGAGACCTAAAGGTCTTTATTTGTAGTTAAGTCCTCCAATAGGCCAGATTAACCAGTAGTTTCATCATACTGAACAATAGTTACGGTATGCATAATTCTTTTGGAGGGGGAAAAGCCAGATTGCGAAGAACTACTTGGATTTATGACTACATTTGCCTGACATTTCTCTTTCAAGGTAAATAAAACATTTCTCCTGGGAGAAATCAGTTGTAGATTTATGGTAACATTTCTTTTAGAGGTAGCTTCCCACTCCCACCCACTCCCCACTGGATTAATACTATTCTTTTTGAGACCTGTCAGATGCTAACATGAGGTAGATGACTTGCCACAAGTGAGGTAGAAACTCAACAAAAGCAGTCAGTGTGGTCTGGAATGCTGTGTCCTATGCCCTTGGCCCTACAGAATGCCAGAGAAAGCCGTAGAGCTCTGGAGGCCTGGCCCTGTGACACCATCACCTACAAGTACAAGAGTGTGACTTTTATACAGCCCCAGACTGTTGGAAACTCATTCAGAGTGATGTTTTAAATACACCTTAAATATACCCTAAATACTTTTTGGCACCACTGGATTAAAAAATAAAATAAAATCAGAAAAACAAGCCTAAAACTTTGGCATATCTTTCACCACCTACCAGAACAGAGCAATCTTAGAATCTTCCAATGAGGAAGGCAACATATATATAAACAGTATTTTGCTGCTTCAAGCCTAAGGGACTTTCCTCCTCAAATAATTAAGCTTTGGCTTAACTAGAATAAATCCGACTGAGCCGATCTCAAGCTATTCTCTTGCAACTCCATCACAAAGTGCCTCAATTCTGGCAACATTTTTGGCCCAACATGTAATTTGGATTCGGTTTATGGTACCCTTTGTTACGTGTTTTCCCAAGTAAGTTAGACTTAAAAGGGCATTGAGGAGTTAGTGCACTTGGGGTACAGCCCAGGTCACTGTGCTCTAGTCAACTTGAGTGCCACTTGCAGCCACAACAGGGCACACGTTCTGAGACAGCATTAGATCTCGGGACCACAAATAGCACTTTTGAAATGTTAAGTGTCAAGCAAAAGTAGTTTTTACCTATGGGTTAGATTTCCTTTAAACACCTCAATACCCAAACCTATATATCCAAACCCAATGGGCATCTCCAAACAGAAACTGAGCTTATATCATCCCCCACCCAACCCTTGCCACCTGACCAGATCAGACCTCCATGGGGACTACTGTCTAATTGTCACATTTACGCCCCAGAAACCTTTTTATTCTCCTACCTCCTAACACCCAGGACCTTATTTTTTCCATCAGGCTGAAGACTCCCTTCTTTGACCCAACTCCTGGCTACCCTGGCATTACCTCATAATGGGCAGGAGATTACGTATTTAAACACAGGTACTTTTCAGTTTCACACTAGGGACTGCCAAATGTTGGCTTTTATCATCTTTCTTTGATTTGAACACTTCACATCATACAATGAACTCTCCAAAGTGCTTCGCACCAATCCCTATGGGTCAGGAGTCAATCGTGGACAGCCAAAAACGGCCAATGTTTTAAAAACAAAAGCTTTCCAAGTGTGACCATGTTTCTCAAATACCAGTCATGCACCATTCTGGATACAGAATGGTAAGGAGATACACCACCACTGAGGACAAAGGTAGTAGTATCTCTGACCTACACACATATTTCAGGGGATAGTTTCTAGTTGCTCTAAGCCTGCAAATTTTTAAGTCTGTAAATTAAGACCTGATAATAATTTCAGCCATGGAGCGAAAATCTTGGCTTTCGAATCACATTCATAGTAAAATGTCAAATAAGGAGCTCTAGCAACTGTTACGCACCAAGAATATTTCTCATTCAGGTCCCTAAATTTTCCCACATCTGGGGAAATTAGAAAGAAAAGAGCGGAATGAAAATGACTATGAAAGGATTTTAATCAAGATCCATCTCCTCAATAAAATTTTTTTTCAAGCATTTAAAACCAGTTGTCTTTGGTATTTAAAGGGTGGTTTGTTGGGCGGCTGCGGAGAGGGAAGATCAGCACCAAGTTACTCCAAAATAGAAAACAGCAAAAATGTTTAATTATATTAACTCTTTACCAGAAAGAGCTTCATGGCCAAAAGGCAACTGAATAGGCATTGGGGAAGGATTCGCTATTAAATTCTACAGTAAAAGGAGCTTCTAACAAACAAGATTTCTTAACACCTTCCCACCCTGTAACAGCAGCTGGGAGCCAGCAGCAGTTTGAAGTTACTTTCCAACTTTTGAATCTTTTATTGCATGCAGTTCTCCTCTGTGAGATGAGGTTCTTTTTTTCCTTCCCATTTTGGTCACTCAGAAACCCTAGAATTAAAGCAATGGGAAGAGACAGCGTAGCTTGTAGTAGTAGTAAATTAAACATCCAAAAGAGGTATATGGGAAAAGCAACTTGATTGACTTGTCACATTGTCCCCATCATATCCTTTTCTATTGGGATAATAGAAACAAATTGCTCCATTTGTTAATCTGTTTTGTTCATTTAAAACTATACCCATTTTGCAATAGAAATTTCTCGTAAATAGAGAACAGAAGTTAATCCCTAAGTCTTTATTTTCAAACAAGAGGTCTCCCTTGTAAGTCACTGACGTTTGTTTGCGAGTCCCTCTTTTCCCTGAGGAGGGCTCCTCCAGAATTTGGTTCTTGTTTCAGTATTTGGGGCAATGCAGGAACCCACTGGATTCTGACAAGCAGGGTATCAGCTACATCTGCTTTGCACTTGAGAGACAGACAATGCCCAGAAGCACAAGTTTTGTACCCAAGTCCAGCTTACAACCAACCAATCCTGTAAAGTGACACAGATTCTACCCCACAGTTCCGCAGTGGGAGCCTTAAATTTTCATTCTTTGGTACCGAGTTACAGGTTTAAGAAAAGACATTACATCCTACATTTCAGGTTTGGACAATTTGGTTTCTAGATCCTTTATATTCAAAGGCCTTGAGGGGAGGGGGGCGGGGGGATTCATGTTAACCACGAGGTCCTAAAGCATGGCCTGGGTGCAAACAATCCTATAAAAAGTGACCCAAGCAGAGGGTGTGGGACTGGGCTGTTGGTATATTTTGACTTTCAAACATTGTATTTCCCTGAACTTTCAAAGCAGGAAAAAAATTGTGCTTGTAAAATGGAAGTTCTTTCCTTTGTCTACTCTTCTTAGGAAAAGAAACTCCAAGGACTACAGAACAACTATAGATTGGGGGTGCCTTGTTCTTTAATGTGCTCCCTGACTCCCTCAGCACACACATCCACCCACACTCATGTCCACATCAGCCCATGCCTGAAAACCCTCTCTGAGAATGAGGTTAATTTCCTTCTTCCTTCCATTTAACCCTTTATAACCTAACAGCAAAATAAGAAAGCTTAACTTTCGAGAATACGTTTAATCAAAAATCCTGAGCTACCATCTATATATTTTTTCAAGAAACCAAAGTGTGAAAAGGAGAGCTTCTTTGGGAGGCAGTGTGTCATTTTCAGCTACTTGGGTGCAAGATGGCTTTGAAACAAACACGCACACACCCTCCCTTAAAAGAAATAAAGATTATATACCCTAAAACATGAAGGGTCTGCTTTTCTTGGCTAGCAAGCCACAGCCACAACGTCTAAGATTAAGAAAAGATACAGAAGAGGATGTTAAACACACTGAGGTATAACAGAACAGAGGAAATTTCTCTGTTGCAGCATTTAAAAAAAGAGAAGATTTTCCAAAAGATCAAAACGACACAACATAATCTAACCCCATATAAACACAGTATTCTCAAGAACACAGATACTCTATAACTATGCATTTCAAATCCTATTTTTTCCATGTTTTATAGTTTTTTGTTTTTTTACTTAGTAGTTTTTTTTTGTGTTTCCTTGGCTCAATCTACAGAATACACCCCACCACACACATCCAGTGCCCTCCCAGCCATACGGATGCCAGGCTTGTGCATATCATGCCCCACGCAGGGGAAGAGGGAAATGCAAACTCCACTGAGGAGGGGAAGAGGGCCTGCTGCAGAAGGAAATGTAAAGATTTATGAGGTAGATAGAAATTATCACTTCACAGGCTCAATCCCTGCAGAAAAGATAAGTACATTCATCTGTAAAAAAATAAAGATGAGGTAGGACTTAAGCAATGTTGTACTTCTCTTGTTCTCTTTTAAAAAAAAAAGAAAAAAGAAATTTCCCTGAGACTGTTTCTTCTTTGAAATTCAAAAAGAGAGAGAAAGAGAGGGAGAGAGACGCACACACACCCCAAACACAGAAACCTAGGAAATGCAATTAGAAGACTAGGATTCGATTGTTGCCAAAGTCCACCACCACGATCATTCCGTCGGGGGTGATGGCGACGCCAGAAGGGCGGTCCATCTGCCCAAAGCCGCTGCCTTGAGCGCCGAACTTGCACAGGAAGCTGCCGTTGGATTCAAACATCTGTACCCGATGGTTCCTGGAATCTGCCACAATGATGCGCCCTTCCTGGTCCACGGCTACGCCTTGTGGGCGCAAGAACTGCCCATTGCCCGTGCCCTCCGAGCCCAGAAAGCGTGCCGACTGGCAGTCAGGGTGAATCACCAGGAGCCGGTGGTTGTTGAAGTCGGTGACCACCAAGTGGCCCTCATGGTTGAAGGCCACACCCCGTGGGGAGTCAAAGTGCTTCCAGAGAGCCCCCTCGAAGCCATACTTATTTAGGAAGATGCCATCAGGCCCAAACAGCTGGATCCGGTGGTTCCTCGTGTCTGAGACCAGGATCTTGCCCTCAGAATTCACCGCCACATCCCAAGGGTAGTTGAACTGCCCATTCTTGGTTCCTTTCTCACCAAACTTGAGGAGGAACTGGCCCTCGAAGGTGAAGATCTGGATGCGATGATTGTCCTTGTCAGCCACTACGATCCTGCGTGAGGCGTCACAGGCCACCCCGGCTGGTCGGTCGAACTGCCCAGGCCGGGAGCCCAGGGTGCCGAATTTGTGATGGAAGGCGCCGCAGGGCTTGAATACCTGGATGCGGTTGTTGCTGCGGTCGGCAACGATGATGTAGCCCTCCTTGTCTACACTCACGCCCCAAGGGCGGCAGAGCTTGCCATCGCTGTCACCCTCGCTGCCGAAGCTCAGGCCTGGGAGCCCAATGCCCACGTAGCTGCGGCCTGACTTGACCACCACCTTGAAAGGGCTGTTCTCAATGTGCTGGTTGCACAGTGTCACAGATACCAGGTGCTCACCCTCCAGCTGGGGCCGGTAACTCACCACGTATGTCCCATTCTGCTGATCGCTCACCTCTGCACCAAACAGGTTGCCATCAGGGCCCAGGACCACAGCTGACATCAGGTCACCTCCTGAGAGACGGGGCTCACCATCGTGGTCATAACCAATGACTGTGAAGGAGGCCACCTTACCCTGGAGGGCGCGCTTGAGGCCATCGCCCGTGGCCTTGGTGAGTGGCGCAAAGGCCCCGCTGCTAACAAAGCCAAAAGACTTGATGGCAAGGTACAGTGCCTGATCAGGGGGTGTGAACATGACTCGGTCATCTTCCTGGGGCTGCAGGAGGCTCCGCACGGTCTTCAGCTCCTGCACCTGGGCCAGCATCCGGTCTCGGGCCAGCAGGATGTCTAGCGCTCTACCCTCCTCCAGGACCTGCTGCACGGCACTGATGGTGCTCTCAAGCTTGTTGAGGTTTTGCCGCAGCTTCTCCACCTGCAGGTACAGAGACTTGGCTTTCACCTGGCGGATCTTTTCTACCTGGAGGGAAAAGCAAGAGTGAAGAAAGACACAGAGGCTTAGAGCCAAGCACAGAAAATACCACATAAGCCACAACTAATCACAAGGGAGCATCAGACAAACACATATTGGGGGATGGTCTACAGAAGACATTGGGCTTTCTTCAAAGGCAGCAAAAGCAAAATGGACCAAAAAAACCCTGAAGAACTGTTCTGGGTTACAGAAGATAGTTACTAGAAACAGGACAACTATGCAATCAGTGGCCCTGGACTGGGGGGAATGGCTGGGGCTGGGGCGAATAGAGTGCTGTTGGGACAACTGTGGAACCTTGATTATGGACTGAAGAATAGATGCTAGTACTGTATCAAAATCAAATTTCCTGATTTCTATAACTGCAATGTGATTGGGGTAAAAGCGCTGTGCTTCCAATACGCCAACTCACTCTCAGATCACAAACATATATACATATACATACATACACACACACACACAAGACGCACACGCACACGCACGCCTCATGCCTATAATCCCGGCACTTTGGGAGGACGAAGCAGGCAGGTCATCTGAGGTCAGGAGTTCGAGACCAGCCTGGCCAACATGGCAAAACCCTGTCTCTACTAAAAATAACAAAAGTTAGCCAAGTGTGGTGACGGGCACCTGTAATTCCAGCTACTTGGGAGGCTGATGTGGGGAGAATCCCTTGAACCTGGAAGGTGGAAGTTGCAGTGAGCAGAGATCACGCCATTGCACTCCAACCTGGGCAACAGGGCAAGACTCCATCTCAAAAAACAGTAATAATAATAATTGGAACAAAACGTACATAATCAGTAAATCTGGATAAGGAATATATGGAGTTACTATAATTACTGCAACTTTTCTGTAAGCTAGAAATTAAAGAAAAATAAAAGTTAAAACAGCCATCTAGAGCTGGGCACAGTGACGTGCACCTGTAGTCCCAGCTACTCGGGAAGCTGAGGTGGAAGAATCACTTGAACCTAGGAGGCTGAGTCTGCAGTGTGCCATGACTGTACTTGGAAATAACCACTGCACTCCAGCCTGCGCAATACAGTAAGATCCCACCTTAAAAAAATAGCAAGATCCCACCACCAAAACCAAAAACAGCCACCTGACAAAGGAGTTTACTGAGCACCTACACTCTGCCAGGCATTGGAGGTACTGCCGTAATCCACAGAAAATATAAAATATGGTCTTTGCTTGCACAGAGTTGTAGTTTAGAAAAGGAATATTCGAAAGCAAACAAAGAAATATGGATCATGTCAGATAGTGATAGCCGTTAAAAAAGTAGAAAAAGGGGCCGGGCGCAGTGGCTCACGTCTGTAATCCCAGCACTTTGGGAGGCTGAGGCGGGTGGATCACGAGGTCAGGAGTTCGAGACCATCCTGGCTAACATGGTGAAACCCCGTCTCTACTAAAAATACAAAAAATTAGGCAGGTGTGGCGGCGTGCGCCTGTAGTCCCAGCTTCTCGGGAGGCTGAGGCAGGAGAATGGCGGGAACCCGGGAGGCAGAGCTTGCAGTGAGCTGAGATTGTGCCACTGCACTCCAGCCGGGGAGACAGAGCAAGATTCCATATAAAAAAAAAAAAAAAGTAGAAAAAGGATGTGGAAGACAGTGACTAGGGGCCCTGATACAGACAGAGTGCTGAGGGACAGTGCCTTTCACAAGTTCAGACCTACAGGCTGAGACCAGACAAAAGGCCAAAGGGAGAGCTATCTCAGCAAAGGAACAGCCAGCACAAAGGTCCTACTGCGGGCACAGGCTCAGCATTTCAAAACCACAGCTTTTAGTAGGGGAATGACATGACAGATTCATATTCTTAAAGAATTAGTTTGGGGCCAGGCACAGTGGCTCATACTTGTAATCCCAGCACTTTGGGAGGCCAAGGTGGGTGGATCACCTGAGGTCAGGAGTTCAAAACCAGCCTGGCCAACATAGTGAGACCCTGTCTCTACTAAAATTACAAAATAAGCCGGGCGTGGTGGCACCTGTAATCCCAGCTACTTGAGAGGCTGAGGCAGGAGAATCGCTTGAACCCAGGAGACGAAGGTTGCAGTGAGCTGAGATCATGCCATTATACTCCAGCCTGGGCAACACTAGCAAAACTCTGTCTCAAAACAACAACAACACAAAAGGATTAGTTTGGGAAATGTTTATTAAAGGGGAACAAATGAGGGAACAGAGACCAGAGATCACCCACCTGTGGGTTGGAGGTGGTTTAGCGAACAGAAGTAGCTGTGGAAGTGGAGAGAGTGACAGAGGGGCTACCAGAGGCAAAATCAGGCAGGACTTCATGGCTAGTCTTACCCTGCAAGAAGCCTGAAACCTCTTAAAGAACACACACACACACACACACACACACACGTAGTGTGCGGGTGCGGTGGCTCATGCCTGTAATCCCAGCACTTTGAGAGGCCGAGGCAGGCGGATCACTTGACGTCAGGAGATTGAGACCATCCTGGCCAACATGCCGAAACCCCGTCTCCACCAAAAATACGAAAATTAGCTGGGCTTGGTGGCGTGTGACTGTATATATATATGTGTGTATCTCTCTCTCTCTCTCCCCGTCCCCCCTCCCCCTCTCTCTCCCCGCCCCTCTCTCTGAGAGGGATAAAGACTATGTGTTGAGAATGGGCTCACTGCAGCCTCGGAACTCCCAGGCTCCAGTGATCTTTCCACCTCAGCCTCCTACGTAGCTGGGACTACGCATGCACCACCATAGGGCATCAAAAAAAATTTTTTTTTGTAGAGATAGGGTCTTAATGTTGCCGGGGGGGGGCCTCAAACTCCTGGGCTCAAGCAATCTTCCCACCTCAGCCTCCCAAAGTGTTGGCATCACAGGCGTGAGTCACTGTGCTTGGCCAGTTTCTCTTTACTTCTGTCTTTTAAAAACAGTTTTAAAAACCCAACTGGGAACCTGAGAAGCCCTATACCCCAAATTTTAAGATAGCACGCTTTTGGCAATAATTTGTGTATATTTTTTCCAAAAGAGCCCTTTAAATCTAAAACGCTATAATACGTATGGACATGGATTCTAACCTGCCAAAATAATTCCTGCTTGAGGTTCTCAAACCATGCTATTTAGAAATACGGGATTTTGTTTTGCCAGTGAAACATTAGTTTCTCTATCCTTTAAAAGTTCTCTAATTCTAAGCAATTTTCCCCTGTGAAGGGAATGAACTTATCCAAATAGTTTTCACAGAGGATCGTGACTTGAGTTGTTCTACAGATCTGAAAGCCATAGAAGGCTATTTCAGAATAAGCGTCCACTGTTGAAAGAGCTGGATTTCAACCTGACTTTCCCTTTAGGGTGGGAGGGGTGATTATATGATTTCGACTCATTCCTGCTTTTTCATCTGTTCAGTGAACCAGGATACACGTGTACGGAGAGGCCCACGTGGGGACAGATTAAAGAAGCTTTGCCCATTGGGCCAAACCTCCACCTTTGGTTCTTACCCATGAACTATACATGCAGCTAACCCCATGAGGTAGCCAAGTCCACTGGAAATACATAAGGCCCAAGAACGAAGAGAGGCATCTGGATATTTACAACAGGGTTGTCTCAATCCTTGCACTTATATATCTTAAAGTGAAGTAACCAGAGATGCAGTTACAAAACAAAACTTGTAACAAAGAGATGCCCAGACACAGACAGGCAAGGCAAGAGGGCTTTGCTGGGAAGGAACGGGGGGGGGAAAAAAATATCAGTAATTAGAGAGGGACTCCCCCAGGATTCGGAGCAAGGTTCTATAGCAAAAGTGTCCAAACTAAGGCAGCTTCTTTTGGAATGCTCTGAGGATGAATTTTTGGGCACGCACTAACTGCTTACTACAACGAAGAAGGGATTTGACTCTTCTTTCAAGAGGCTTCTCCCAAGAGTAAAAACTTGCTACTTCTTCTGAAACAGAACTGCCTTTAGAGAGGACAGTGGGTCAGCCTCACAGGAGGGAGGGTAACTAAGGTGAAAGCGGCAGAAACCCCCACACACAAAGGCCTTTTTCATCAGGAAATCCAGAAGAGCGAGTTTGTGGCAGAGTTCACTACAAAGCTCTCAGGTTGCAAGAAGTGGGCCCCTCAGTTATAATTAACATTCGTGGGTGGCATAACACTGGCAGACCCATGGGGACATCTGAATGTCTGAAAACGATGTCATGCCCACAAAGGTGCTCAAAAAATGTGCTGAATTAAAAACCGTGGACTAACACCTCCAAAGTCTCTTCTTGTCAGAAAGAAACTGAGCCATATTCCTTAAGAGGTGAGAAGAGGCAGAAAGCATCCAGTTGTGAAGTTAACTAAATGGAAAATGCAATGCAAAATCCAGTGATGCCTTGCAGAACAGTGTAGGGCACAGTAGTTAGCAAAGGTCACTTGCAGAAACTGAGGCCCATCCCCACCATCATCATATTGTTTGGAGATGGAAACAGGCACGCTCCACAAGGATACTCTTTTAAGTCAGCTCTAGCCTTTTTCATGTGTTCAGAGAATGTAATTATAGCTAAAGAACTGGCATGGAGTACTGGCCCTTTCATAGACATAACTCTCCTCCTTTCTGAGTGGGGACATAAAATCAGAAAAGGAACAGTTGGAATGCTGGCCTGGGTGGGGCGAGTAGTCCTTCCAGCTGATTTTTATCTAAACCGCACACTAGTGTGCTCGGCACTCCTTCCTGCTCCAACAGGAAGAAAGGGCACACACTCACTGCCTCCGAAGAGGAAAACTGGTTTTCCACAAGAGATCAGGAAGTGCAACCAGCCAGGTCACCGAAAATAGGGATGTTTCCTACCAGCCTGCCTTTCTTAACAACAGTTTTGACTACGGTCCCTTCTTTAGCCTCCCTTTGAGTGAATGCAAGATAAAACTGGAGACCGCTCCACCGCTTCCAGTCTTGGCTACCCATGTACTTCCGAAAACCCTTCTTGTTTTACCGCAAACAGCACCCACAATGTTCCAGGGACCCCCTGCATCTTTCTGCCAACAGACTTTCTGGAAAATTACCAAATGTTTTACACTTAAGAGCTTGGCTCCCGGATCTGAAAAGAGTCCTGTAGAGCGCTGCTGGGGTTCATGGAAGCCGAGCGGGCACAGCGTGGGTGGGGGAGTGCTCCGTTACCTTCCACAGCAGCTCGCACTCGCGCTCCTCCAGGGCCTTCTTATGCCTTGCAGTCACCGCTTTGACCTCCGACTGCACAACCTTCGCCTTCATCTCCACCTGTTCCGCCACCGTCTGGGCCTGCTCGATGCTCAGCTGCAGAATAAAACAAAACAAAAAACAACTTCGAGGCATTAGAAGGACTGTCATTCCTTATACAAAACATTTGAATCTGCTCTGTCAGACTTGAAAAGCTGACACCCTGGGTTCCCAGACCACTTGATTCACTCCCTTGGAAGGAAAACAGGCACTTAGGGAGAGACTGGCATCTCTCTGACATGTAACTAAAGGAGTTGCTGGCAAGAGCTGGATTTCTTTGCATGAGAAATGGCACCTACACAGTGAATGTCAGAACTATCAAGAGATACTCTAACACAGTGAAACCAGTGTAGCTGGGTGACAGCCGAAAATGGGGAATGAGGATCAGATGTAAAATGTGCAACTCCAGCCACACAAGTGGCTTCCCCAGACTTCCCTGCCTCACTCTCTGCCTGGGCAAAACCCCATAGGCCAGGCCCATCCCTCACGTGAGGGTGTGCGATAGGCTAGTGGCTAATCCATCCTGTTTTTGTCAAGGCACTGGCAACACAGCTCATCCCAGCCAGAACGAACGCCAAGTGCACACTGGGAATATCCCCCGATCTACCTAAGAAGCTGTGCCCTGTGGTCAGAGACCCTCTACACGTCACCACACACGTCACCCTGTACCAGCCCTAGTAAATCAGCCAGTTTAATCAGACGTATTATTGTTCATAAAAAATTAATCCAGACAGAAGGCATGGTGTTTTCATTAATATTACATGCTGTGTCTTGAAAAGCCACAAGGATTTCTTTGAGATACCGAGGTATTAAATCAGGGATTCCAAAGTGATTGCTCTTGGTGCAACAGGTTTCAGGCAGGTGATCCAATCAGGAGGGTGTCAGGGAAGCACAAAGGCCTGGCATGGGCTTAGGAATCAGAGTGACCAGTCACCCAGTTTGCTCTGGACTGAGGGGTTTCTAGGATGTGGACCTTTCAGTGCTAAAACTGGGACAGTCCTGGGCAAACCAGGCTAGTCAGTCATCCCTGGAGTCAGGTAACCCAGGTTCTAATCCTGGGTTAGTTTAGGGCCTCTTACTAGTTGTAAGGCCTCGGACAAGCTCCTGGTCCTCTCCAACCTTGGTAAAGGGCAGATGTGAGGGAAATGCAGAGCAATGCATGGGTTGAGCTGAGCTCAGCACCTGGCACAGAGTAAAACACTGTTATTAGTAGTTCTCATCTGATAAACACCTGGGACAAAAGTTCAGCCATTGTGTCTCGTCAGGCCACTTAGCTCCTATCATAAGATTTACCATGAGTCACATTTAGTATGTGCAGTGTTGTGTAATCATCACCAGTACCTAGCTTCAGAACATTTTCATCACCCAAAAAGCAAAGGCCATAACCATTAAGGAGTCATTTCCACTTCCCTCCTTCTCCCCCATGGCGATCACTAATCTACTGTGTCTCTACAAATCTGTCTGTTCTGAGCATTTCTCCCTCCCTCCCCCCACCCCTTCCTTCCTTTCTCTTTTAATAGAGATGGGGGAATCTTGTCATGTTGCCTAGGCTGGTCTCGAACTCATGGGCTCAAGTGATCTGCCCACCTAGGCCTCCCAATGTGCTGGCATTACAGGCATGAGCCACTGCGCCTGGCCTGTTCTGGGTATTTCATATAGACGGCATCATCATACAATACACAATCTACCTTATTTTTATGAGTATTCTTCCTGCTCAACAGTTTGACTCAGTCTGGATGAGAGCTGACACATTCATGGCATGCAAGACATGCTCAAAGGTGCAGCCCCAAAAACACCCATGGTGGCTGGGCACAGTGGCTGACGCCTGTAATCCCAGCACTTTAGGAGGGCGAGGCAGGCGAATCACTTGAGCTCAGGAGTTTGAGACCAGCCTGGCCAACATGGTGAAACCTGGTCTCTACTTAAAACAAAACAAAAAACAAAAAGCACACCACCCATGCATGACTCCAGTGGTTAGCGGCCACACTGCATTCCCTGCCTAAGAGGATCCTGTGTGTCCTAAGGATCCACTGAACGGATTCACAGGGGAACTGGGTAGATCCAGAGGGCTCACAGGCTGTCCACAGCCTGGAATGCTTCACCCTAAATTTCCAAACCCAGTGCTGATGCCACTTCCCTTCTGAAGCTGGAAGGGAACAGCATATTTCTATAACCTTTCTGCTCCACCTTTACAATCCTGTCTCAAGTACCATTACGTATCAATCAGAGGAGGAGCTAAGTACAAAGCCCATGATACTTAAGGCACCTGGAATTTAGCAGAACAATTAGCAGAACGATCTATAAATTTTATATTTGCACATCTCTAGCCATAATCATGTTTACCAAAGCACTAGGTAGCTGCGTCAGGTTAAATACTGTCCCTCCAAACTTTGGGCTCAACTAAATGGGGGCCAGGATGTGACCTTGTGTGGAAATACAGTCTTTGTAGATATAATTAGCTAAGATGAGATTATAGTAGATTAAGTTGAATCTTAAATCCCAAAACTGATGTCCAGAGAGGGTCATGTGCAGACCCAGATACACAGAGAACAAAGCCATGTGAAGACCAAAGCAGAAATGGAAACTGATGTAGGTACAAGCCAAGGATGCTGGCAACTGCCAAAAGCCCGGATGAGGAAAGCAATGTGTCTTCCCGAGGGCCTTCAGAGAGAGCATGGTCCTGACACCTCGATCTTGGACTTCCGGCCTGCTGTTTTTAAGTCATCCAGTTTATGGTAATTGTTACAACAGACCCGATAAACTAATACAGAAGCCAATAACGTGAAGCAGACAGATATTACATCCACATTACCTAGAAGTTAAAAAATTAGAATGGCCAATCAAATGAGCATGCACATAAGCAGGTATCATAATAGCATTGATACATTTGTAGTATCTCAGGCTGTCAGGATTCATCCAGGGAAAAACAGAGAAAGCGAGAGACAGCCAGAGAGCTCGCTAGACATTTAAACAGAATTTAGCGTAGGGAAATGGTTAAACAGGTATGGGAGAACTGCGGGGGCAAAGAGCACACGGAGGCAGACAGTACCTGCAGAAGCAGCTTCTTCTGCTTTGTCTGAGAGAACAAAGGAAAGAAAGCTGTGGTTACAAAACACGATAGGGGCGGAAGTACTCCAGCTAACTGGTCAAGTGCAGATCTGAAATAAACCCACACGTGTCTCCCCTCCCTCTGACGGAGTGAAAAAGATGCAGGCCTAGCGGACCGCCGCGTGCTCAAGCACTGATAATCCCACCCGCACTTTGGAGAGCGAGGCGGGGCGGGATCACGAGGTCAGGAATCGAAGAAACCCATCCTGTACACGGTGGAAACCAGTTCAACTACTAAAAACAAGAAAATTAGCTGGCGAGGGTGGGCGCCTGGTAGTACTCAGCACTCGGAGAGGCCTGACGGGAAAGGCGTGAACCTGGGGGGCGCGAGCTTGCAAAGGAGCCGGACGCGCCACTGCCACCTCCAGACTGGGGCATAGCTAAGACTCTCTCAAAAAAAAAAAAAAATTAGAAATGGGCCGGGTACAGTGGCTCACAGACTTGAGATACCAGCACTTTGGGAGGCAGAAGGATAGCTTAAGCCCAGGAGTTTGAGATCAGCCTGAGCGGCAGTGGGGGGGCCAGGGGCCCCGATCCCTGCTCTGCTGCGCCGGGTTTTTTTTTTTCCTTCCATCAGTCTCTACAAAAAAATAAATAAATAAATTAGCCAGGCACGGTGGTGCTTGTCTGTAGTCCCATCTACTTGAGAGGCTGAGCTGGAAGGATTGCTTGAGTCCTGGAAGATCGAGGCTGCAGCAAGCTGTGACTGTACCACCGCACCCCAGCCTGGGTGACAGAGCAAGCCTCTGTCTCAAAACAAATACATAATATGATAATAATATAATTAAAATGAATTGGAAGAAAAAGGGAAGAAGTCCTTTTCCCATACATGTAGTTTGAAGAGTCACAGCCCCAGTATCACATGGCAAGAGTGTGACAGGGTTAGAACCCAAAGAGTAGAACTTAGTAACTGGCACCCTCTATATTTTTAGATGTGTTGGTTATTAATTAGTACAACTGGTGTCCAAGCTAATATTTGACCAAGGCAACCAAACCCACATCTGTAAGATTTCTTAATCATTCCTAAATAGAAAGCAGAGGTGGCAAACTAATATTAATGTCATACTACTTGCCAAACTGATTTTTTTTTACATCGAACGTCTATCAGATGTAAAAAAATAAAATAAAATAAAAAAGGCCCAGCCTGGGCAACAAGAGCAAAACTCTGTCTCACAAAACAAAAACAAAACCAAACACACACAAAACCACTCCCTTTGCACAGGAATGGGTGTACTACCCTACTCACCTCTTCCCCTAGTCTCCTAGCCAGCCTTATCCCTCATGTTTGGAACTCACATTTTATGATAAAAACGGTTCCTTCCATTTTTCAAACAGGTTCAGGGGATTCAAAGCTTTTGTTGCAATTTTAATAATCAGCAAGCATGCAAAGATACTCCTTGGGCTGAGAGTCACAAAAGCCCTACCCAATGCATAGTAGAAAAATAGGTCTTTCCCTTCCAAACTATGCAGTACCCAGCCAAGCACCGCATTCCAAGATGTGCAGACCAGGACTTACTGAAATAGTTCCCAACCTCTAACAGCAGGGCATTTGAAGAAATATAAGGCAGATGGGTTGGGGGAAATGACAATGTAGAAAGGCTGGGTAAACTTCCAAAACAGATAAATACACTTCACACTAAGGAAAGAGAAATCACCCAACAAGCATGGTGCTTGAGAGAAAATTTAACCATCTTTGAGATGTTAACAGATCGAATCAAACATCTGAAAGTTGAGGGTCAGCCGGGCGCGGTGGCTCAAGCCTGTAATCCCAGCACTTTGGGAGGCCGAGGTGGGCGGATCACGAGGTCAGGAGATCGAGACCATCCTGGCTAACACGGTGAAACCCCGTCTCTACTAAAAGATACAAAAAAACTAGCCGGGTGAGGTGGCAGGCGCCTGTAGTCCCAGCTACTCGGGAGGCTAAGGCAGGAGAATGGCATAAACCCGGG